CTCAAAATTGGAGCGTAAACTTAATTGGGACAAGCTCGAGGTCCGTGAAGTTAGCACGGTCATTAAAAGCACTACCGACCTTAGATCATGCTACCGACAGTACACGATCACATCGTTAGTGCTTCGGTAGTGCTTCGTTAGTGCTTATTAGTGCTTTATAACTTGCAGCAGCACGATCCTTCGGCTCGCTCGACTTAAATCGTTATGTGTTTGTTATTTGGGACATTTTCAACTAATTACTTGCGAAATTAGATCACTCACGGAGGACACTTTGTAACCCGAAGGCCCAATCTTCAAATAAGAATAACTTTTGTTTGAATAGTTATTTTAAATAACTGTTCGACAATTTTGTTCCTTAACTCATCAAAAACTAATATTCCAGATTCGTCATTTTCATGTTCAAAAACCCCCAGATACCAAATTTCGTCGAAATCAGAATTTTTTCTCGCACTTTCAAGTAGGGGTGCGCCCTTTCGTGGTAAGAATTTTTGAAAAATTTTTTCAAAATCGGGTAGGGCATACCCGAAAACCTATTCAAAGACGTGTCACCCCTCTTTGTAACTCTTATGGTTGCTGAGAAGACTAATGAAAAAGAAATCCAAATTTCACCACTCCTTTGGGGGTGGCTCCCAAACGAAACACGTTGGACCCTCGGTATATTTGGAAAGAGTGCTTGTCTTGATCCCTTCTATCACCCAATTTTTTTACATGCGATCATGTAACACCCTGTATGCCATAGTTTTGAAGCAAGCATTTTTGCCTAGAATAGATATCAGTTTCGGGGATGATTTATTGGACTTTTGCTGCATAACGAGACGATTTGGAGTGTAGTCGAGGGCGTAGCGGTCATCTCTTTTCTAAGCTGCGACTAGCAATTCCGTAATCTCATTTTTCAGTCAATTTTACTGAATTAATTTATATACAAGGCGTTCCATATATCTTGAGACAGTCGATTATTGCAGAAACTAGCGGGGTTATCAAAAAAATGATTTTATATAAAATCTTTTTATTATGGAGGAGCCCATTTAATGATGCTATGCACATTTTCACATAACTGTCCCTTAAGGGGTAGCGCAACCAATTTTTTAATTATAAGCATATACCTTTTTATTGAATATTTTTATTCTACGAACACATGGCATGGTTTGAGCTAGCTGCTAGAAAGCTGTTCTGTCAAAAACTTCCCACATTTTTTTAATAGGAAGACTGAGTTGCACTATATAACTTTCAATCTGGAAACTGTGCAACATCCTACGGCTTACACATTCCCACAATTGAAATACTTTACTCATTGAGAGCTTACGGAATAGTCCGTTATCGCTGTGTAAAAGCTAAAGTTGAAAAAATACAGGTGTTCGCCGTTAGTAAACACAGGTGTTCAGTTTATAAAAGACACTCCGAAATTTGATACGAGAGGGAGAGTTGGTCGATTGGCTAATGTTGAGAAAATGATAATAAAGCAGCATCAGAAAGTAATAGAAGGGAACAGTCATTAAAAAGGCGTAGCAAACGTCACACCAAAAGTGTCTCTTTGGTCTTTGGCAGTCACCCTTAATGAATGTTTTCTTTTTTGCTAAAAGACATTCAGTCTTGGTGGTTGTAAAGTGGAAGCTTAAGGGTCGTCTTACGTATACGGAGAAGTTGTTCGAATGTTGTTAGAGCAGTTATATGTGAATCATTTAGTTAAAGTGGATTTATCCACCACCAAAAAGCCACTTTCACATTCGTAAATACAATAAAGCCATTTCGTTCAAATTAAATGAAGTAACAACTAAACATTTCAATATCCGTTGGTGTTTGTGTTTTGTTTGTGTCAGTAAAGGAAAGTTATGACCGGATGTTAAGAATTAAGGTGATTAAAACTTTATTTAACGAATTTGTTTCAATCGATCGCAAGTGCGTGGTACATAGCCTGTGGGCTGTGAGTGATTTTCTTTTCTACAGCTTTATTGATTGATTTATGTCGAATAAATTTATTTCGTATGTAAATGACTAGCTTTGTGCCTAACCGTCGATCCAAGATAAAAGAGTTCTCAAGCTAAAATTTTCTATTTGTACCCAGGATTACGTTAGGTATTAATCAAAAATTTGTTAAATAATTCTTTGGGATTGTTGGGAATTGATCAAAGCTGAGTTTCCCAAATCAATATAATATCGAGATTTGCATCGAGGTGGAGGCTAGACGTGCCCTAGATAAATTATAATTTAATTAAATTTGGTATAAAAATGTTGTCAGCAACTTTGTTTATTTGAGCTAACTGGACAAGCACATAGCAATATTGTTGATTAAATTACGTCATGCAGACGTATTACTTGGCTCCGGCACTTGCAATAACGATGGGACACCTCTTGATTTAAATTTTTTACGTTTCATGTTGGTTGATTGGATACAAGACTCGATCATATTTGGTTAAATTCGAGGTCAATGTTGATTTTGTACCAGAACTATTTAATGTTAAGTTTGTTTAAATCGTCGCTTGTATTTTGTTTAATTGTAAAACATCACGTGTTAAGGTATAAGCTTATTTTTATTGTAAAAGTTACCTCCGATCGTTTGTGATAAAAGTTTATCGCTACGTTAGCTAATCAATTTCAAGATAAGCAAGTGTTATCGCTGAAGTAAGCAATATTAATTCTTGAGAGGACGCAGAATTCCATTACTGTTACCTGTTCTTGGCTTATTACTTCCAACCGCCTACGAACAACGTGTGTGTAGCCAATAGAAGTTTACTTCGTTTAATAATATTAGGTTTTGCCGAGCTGTCCTACTTCCAACCACCGCGAACACTTCAAATAGTGTAGCATAAAATACAGTCTGTTTCCCACATACTATTTTCCATACATGGAGGGGAGCGATTTATTTTACAGAGGCATGCTCGTTAGAATATTTCTACATTTAGGAATAAATACGTACGTCTTGTTATTTCACTGACGAAATCAATACGAATGTTGGTTCACAAGTATTCGCGCTAAAGTCTTGGCCAAGAAATGTAAACCCATTAATGCTGGACATTTACTGGAGCAATCTTAGTTTATCAGAGCGGTTGGCATTATATTGCAAATTTATGTGTATATATTAGAGAGACTGAAACTATCTGTGTTTCTCCAGGAATATACCTAATGTAATAATGCTTTATTTAAGTGTTATCGTTGTTACTTCGCTTCCTTTTATTACAGACAATTTCTCAAACAAATAAAATGTGTCGTTTACCTGCAACCCTAACCCAAATAATAACAACTAAAATGCAATGAAAAAAAAGAAGATGTTTGTCCATGATGACGAGAAGTCCTCAACGTATTGTTCCCAGCTCCTACTCATCAAGACAGTAGTGCAGTGTTTCTGGGGAAATTTTGTTTTCCAACTTCACCTAAAAGATACAAAAACCGAAAAAGTACCTACTCTCAATGTATAAAATCTCTTCCCTCACACGGATGGATGAATGGACTGACGCACGAATGGATTAGTGGCCAAAGCGCTAGTAACAGCTCATTTTAATTTTTGAAAACTGCATTAAAATACCATAACCTGATGGTTACCTAAATATGTTTGTGTATTTATTTGTTGTATATTTAGACGTATAAACGTAATAAACATTATTATTAAAGACATTGGAGATACGAGGGTCGTTTGATAAGTATCCTGCTTCGTAATGTCCACATGATCAGAACGATACTTAGTGGCGCCAGGTTAAAACTAAATTTTTGCAATATTATTTTTGTACGCCATTTGTTGAGAAATGAATGTAAAGCATTAGATTTTGAAACTTTTCTTGTAACGTTTGTGAAAGTATAGAGTGTGGACGTATCAGTATTTTTCCTTTTTTGTCTTTGTTCCGTATGCCGCCATGTATGACGCTGAATTTTTTGAATCGCTCTTTATTATCCACTAGTTACTATGGATGGATACATGTATTGAACATAGCATGTGCCAAGTATCTAATCGTAAACATGTCTCTTGACTCCTATAGATCTACACCCCGCTTCTTTAGCTACTTTTGACTGGGAGTACCTGCTGTTGAAATTAAATATTTGGAATAGCTTAATGATTTCACAGATATGTCAATACATGGGAATTACATAGGTAAACTGTGCCTATTGCCACTTTTTTTTCACTTTTTTGGTAATGAGATCCCGGGAAATTGTTCAATATCAAGACGACCTAGGATCCAGGTCGTCTTTTTTAGGATAAGGGATGTCAAGACTTCCAGTAGTGCTAAGGATCCCAAAAAGCAATCATTAATACCTACCGTTATTTGAATACCTCTACTGATGGACCCCCCCTCCCTCCCTCCATGAAGAAGGAGCTGGAAAATTGCAACATTTAATGGAATAAAAACTACGTTTTGAAAATAAAGCGACTAATCGTATCTATTGAAAAATGTATAAAAGCTATCTTAATTTGATCCTAAAATGCACTTCTACAAAATGGATATAAATAAAAGGAATGAACTCGTTTTTAGTTTTCGTTGAATTTTCATTTCGTCGATGATGTTTTCTAATCGAAAAGGAACTGACTTATGGTGTACACAGTTAATGTTTTTATCCCTCGGAATAAATCTGGATTACCGCAATACCCTAATCGATTTAGACACCCTCGAACCTTTAAAAGCCACGAATCTTGGCAATAACGTGCTTGAGTTGAGTTCGTGAATAATATGGGAATACGTGGAGAGGTGTTCACGCGATTTGACTATCCGCTTTCACGGGTTTGCACTCATGTTACTATATCCTTAATCGCTCCAGCTCATTAGTATTAATTGCATGCCATTTGCCATACGATGTCATTTTCCAAATTGCGACATTTTCGCATAAACCAATTACGGAAAAATTGGATTAATCGAAAATAAAACTAATAAAAAGTCTTTGAGGGAAATGAAGTAACACGTCGGGAAATTGCACAAATGAGATTTTTTACTGAACGACACTTGAAGTCGAGTGTAAAATCGCAAATGTATAAAATGGACTGTATAAAATAAAGAGAAAATCCTCTTTCTTTTCAGGTCTGGATATTTGGAGATACTTGGTGCAGTATTTGGTTAGCTCTCGACGTTTGGATGTGTACCGCATCAATTTTAAATCTCTGTGCGATTTCCCTTGACCGTTACGTCGCCGTTACCAGACCCATCACCTACCCGAGCATAATGTCTCACTCGAGAGCGAAGCTTTTGATTGCCGGATTGTGGGTTCTCAGTTTTGTTATATGCTTCCCGCCGTTAGTTGGATGGAAAGATAAACAGGTAATTACGCTGGAGTTAAATTAAAAAGTATTTTTAATTGCGGCGTAAAGCCGCATTTTATGTTTTCGTGTAAGTGAATTTTTGTGTTGCTGACGGTAATTCGTTCGAAATTTAATTTCGGAATCTTTCGTTTCAATTTTCACGATAAATTAAGTAGCATTTTTTTTCAGAGTGAGGACGAAAGTGGCAACGTAACGCTTCCGGAAGATCCTCCTTGTCCATGGAAATGCGAGTTGACAAACGAAGCAGGTTACGTTGTCTATTCGGCGTTAGGCTCGTTTTACATACCAATGTTCGTTATGCTGTTTTTCTACTGGCGAATTTATCGTGCGGCAGTAAGGACGACTCGTGCTATTAATCAAGGATTTAGGACTACCAAAGGTTAGTGTTCAGTGTTGTTGACGAGATAACTGTTGCGTAAGGCTATAAAAATCGAAATAACACAATTTCTACTGGTATGGCAATAAAACCTTTTAATTAAAAATCCTTACGTGTAACCTTCCAATAGTGAATTGAGACGACTTAAGTAATTGAATTGACACGAATTCCCACTTAAGTAGTTAACCATCATCCTCTCCCCAAGTTGTAATAAAGAAACCGTAGTTTATTGACTTCTGAGGGTTATTTTCCTATAGCCAAGCCTCTTGGCTATATCCAATTACAATTTAACGGAAAAATAAACTCGATCAAGTACCGAAGTGCGGGCGACTTTAAATAATTACGTTTAAATGAACAGCAAAATTATTCCCATTACATATTTCCTCGAAGAGGAGACCAAACTATGATTATATAAAGAAAAATGTAGGTAAATAATTAATGAATGACACAAAATAGAGATGCTGTTAAAAGAATGCGTTTTCCACTAACTCTAGTTATCTATGAAAGTACATGGCGATCTGATTGATAACATTGACGGATACCGACGATATCATTGACATTGCATATGGTTCGTTATTTGACCTGGTTCTTAAACTTGTACTTAACCCAAAAACTAGGACAAATTAGGACAACACTAGAACCCTAAAAAAATTACATTTAAATTCTATTCGATCACAGAATTTAACCTACCTCCAATGACTAAGAGGGTTATTAAATAATTATAATAATACGGCAACGGTTTAGAAGTAAATGGGTTCAAACTCCAGATAAAGCGAATAGGAATCCGAAAAAGAACCTAACAGATGATTAATAAAATGGCGGCCATACATATTTAAAAATCCAAATTTTTATCCTCCAAGATGCGTCTTCAGTCTCGACCCAAACCACTGCGAGAAGTACACAACATCCGGTTAATCGCCAGAAGCTAATAACACTATATAACTTTGCAATTAAACCGATTTTGAATTTATTAATACAACTACGCTTAAGGTGACCACCACCAAATGTGTTTGCAAGGAAAACGAAACGAAAAACGACTTTAAAGATGCCCCAATAATAATTCGCCACGAATTAAAAGAGATCATTGAAAACTACAGTGACTCTCAAACCAACATATAAATCAAAACATCCATGAAAAAATCAAAATGTTACATATTGTATTTCCTTGCAACACGAACAAATCGTGTATTAGGACCATACGAACGCCGACAAACTTTAATAGGAGAATATTAATTGAACAACATAATCTTAAATCATAATCATAATCTGAAAATATGCAATACGAAGAAATATCTTTTAACACGTTTTCCTCTTTTTGAAAAATTGGTGCAGAAGAATCGTAAAAACGTCATAGCTGAGTTGCAATTATGTGGGGGATTCAGGTCCGTATGTAATGGCACTATGGCGGAAAGGATTTTAGGGAGGATGAAGTATTTCCCGGCGCTCCCTCTTCCGAAACATTTTAAACTTTAAGGGCAAATTTCATGGTTGCCTATTAGGTTTACGCCACAGTAGATCTGAACTGAACCTTCAGTTCTTCTTAGCCATTCTAGAATGCGGATTACAAGAAGCTGCAGCACCTCCTATGGCTGCCCCAAAAAAAACAATCAAATTCAAATTAAAATCAGGGTTGTCCTCTCCTATCACACGAGAATAGCTCTAGGGACTTCATTGAAGGAAAAAAGAGCTATTGAAAAACTTTTAGGATATGTACTCACACATTTTCTCACAAAATGTATTCAGCCTATTTTTTATTAATGTTTTTTGTCGAATGCGGAGGTTTAGCGCAGTTTTACCATTACGAATTCTAACAGGTTCAACCTCTTTTGTTTCTTCGCGGCGAAATAACTTGCCACTAACGGTTAAGGAATACAAGGTGCGGGAGAATAACTTCCTTTTCGAACATGTGCTCCATTCAGTCGGGTGACGTCGTAGCAGAGAGCGTTGGTGGACTCGTTTCAGTGGGAAAACTAGAAAGTTTTGTCACTGAATAGTTCAGTTGCACCATGCGTTCGAACAGTGAGCAGTGTGCTTCTACCGTTAAATCCTACTTTTCGGGCGGATATTCAGTAATTAATTTTTCCCACGTTTAGATGAGTTGGACTGAGGGGACATTTGGTTCCAACAGGATGATGTGACGGTACACATTTCAAGAGCATCGATGACTGTTTAACACCAGAATACGCGAATCTATTTAAGATAGGAATTATCTACTGTTATTTCCGAGAAGTTGGAGCCGATGATTTTCTAAAGCCATGAAAAGATCAACATGCTATAGAATTTAAATGACGCATAAAAAAGATCGTTAAACTTTAATTGAAAACTTCGACCTTTCCTACAATTGCACATAATCGCAATGCGCACTCATAAAAATTTCCGACATTTCAACTTCATAAAAATTCGGACGAATTTCGTCCAAATTAAAACCTACCGTTACATAACCAAGGCCACGGCATTTCAAAATGTGCACAACCATACTACAGTGCTTTTTTAAAAATTGATTCATAATTAAAATCTGGAAGGTTAGTGAAATACTTTGTCTATATATTGATAAGTTCGACTTCCACATCCAGCCAACGTATCAGTGTCGCGGGCACGTTTATGTTAGGCTTAGAAGGCATCGCATTATTCTAAAAGATCTTTCTCTCAAGGGTGCATGGACAAATAATGTAAAAAACAGCACTAGGGAATACGTAACGGTAAAAAGCTTTCTGGAATGCCTATTTCGTCGTTTGATTTCATTAGGGCTAATCACGCACCTTGACAATGAAAGGAACGTATCGACAACGTAGTGGTTGTCAGTAAATTACTGCTACTGACATTTGAAGGCAATTTATTCGTGGTGTAGTTTTAGTATCTTCTGTGATTGTTTCTGCATAGGAAAACATAAAAGGAAATTAAAAAAGTGACACGATTTGGTACTGCAATATAAATTTTTATCTTTTATGCATCCCGAAGGTAGTAAATTACAAGACCGCCAGATTTCTGTTGTAAAACGGCGTGTAATTTAATTAAAATTGATTAATCTTTTTGGACTCGGCAGTACCTCCATATGAAATATTTGCTCGTCTCGTCGAATCTTTCTTTGTAAACCGAGTGCTTCTTTCGAATTTTGTAAACCATCTGGAAAAAAACCACTAAAGTGGTAATTTTACTTCTCATTGAACTACGATTAGATGTTTTAATGTGAAAAAAAGGGAAACGAATGATAAATAAATCGAATTTAATTAGAATGTAGTCCGGATTGTAACTCCTACCTTACCTTTCAAATAATTTCCCTATTTGGTATGCGGGAATACGACGCTCAATCTCACTACCGAAGCTTTCGTTGAATTTGTCAAATAAGCCAGATATACGCTGAATAAACATTCAGAGGGAGAAGTAGGATTTTTAGGTCTTCAACGCGGCCTTTGAGGACGTATTTCGTCTGCATTCACTTGAAAGCTGATACAGTAAGTGCTTTTATCAGTATCCATGCAAACGATCTCCCTCATTTCAAAACATGTTTACAATTTGTTTTCGGATTTCTTTTTGCGCCGATGCTATGCGAATTAGAGGCAGGGTTAGTATTGTGAGGTTGGGAGCCCATGTTTAATTCAATGTTGGTGTTGAATAAAAATTCCAACCCAAAGTAAGTTTGTCATTTAACTTTTGTGGTTCCATACGTACCTACAAAATTCTATACCTGTATCGCTCGGTAACTTTGTAGAAGTTCTTTTTACTTTTGAATATTATCGTTAGAATGTTGATAGTCTTTGATATCTTCCACATATATTACTACTACTAAAACACTACCAAGACACAATTTAACAAAGTGAAGTCCAGATGTTGAGTTACTCACAGTGACCCAACCCTGCTCTTAAACTTAATCCAGAAATGTACCCCGGGTCAATTACCGAAATACCTCAGGCCAACTACCGAAATATGATTCAGCACACCTGGTATTTACTGCAATATGATCCCGCACCCCGGACCAATTGCCAAAATTTGACAAAAAATTCTCACGCCATCTAATATTAGCTTCACGTAATCTTCTGCGCCCAGGACTATGTCTAGTCGGATAATGATTGGTTTTTCCATTGATCAACGGCTGTGAGTTTAGAAAGGCGCGTTCTTCAAATCTGTAACAAACCACGGCACAAACAGTGGTAGTGAATCGCGCTGCACATAAAATATTGTGTACCTAATAGCAATGCTAACGTCTGACACGAAAGCAATCAGATATTAAAACTGTAATTAATACTCAACACGAACCAATAGTTCTAAGCTTTATTACAGTAGCAAAAGCAAAATTTTGATCGACCTCGGATTATCCTTACAATCTCGGGGTATAAAAGAACAAACGTGAAGTTCAATTCAAGAACAATACTTTACGATGCACAAATAACTAAATTTGTATTGGTCCAATCAATTCAAAACATAACTAAGATAATATGCGCCAATATTTCGAAACAAAACAAATAATGTAACCAATACTTGTAGATATCGGCTTCAAACAAAGCAACGGTACTAATATCGATGTAACACAGCTAATCTGCAATGTCATACACGTACTGTGTGGATAGTAGTAATATCAAGGTAGGTAAAAACGTATAATCAAAAAAAATAACGATAAGAACTTAAATTATGAGCAAACTTGAAGGTTGAGTTTTGAGTGAATGTAAAAGTCCTAAAAAAATATGCGTAATGAGAAAAATGTTGCATAATCACGTAACATAGCTCGTAATGGCGTACCAAGAGAACATTTGCATGTAACCAATGGGAAAGCAGAAGCTTTACTGAAGAGGAAGAATTAAAACTGCGCGAGCAAGGTAAACTTTAAGAAGGGATATAGGTGCAGAAAGGTATAAAGCGTGCACTCTAACAACAACACAAAGAAGTATCGTATAAGAAACCACTAGGATAGCCTCAAACAAAGTTGAAAGAGAGAAATAGACAATAAAATAACAAATTCCGATAAAATAAACCAATTCCGTGCTTATTTGTAATCAAATCCTCGAGATTTAAACTCAATTAAAACATTCATACATACCGGATGGCCCGCTCTTATCTTCAACCTTAAAAACGTCCCACTGACGTTTACACAGGAGATAGCACGTATGTGGACAGTAAATTAAATGGTGACATATCTCTCATTGATGGTAGAATCAACCAGCTACTAATGAGACAAAGCTCACAATAAAACTAATGTTAGAAGCAACTGTAAACCGGGCGATTATATTAGCTCGGCATCATTTTGACAGAGGATAAATACCCATTAATCGCGGTTTTAACTTTCCAAATTATAAGCAAAGTCGCCTTAATGATATATATTGTGGAGTGATAAATAGCATGGTTTATAAGATGGAGGTTTAACGGCGCGCTTTTTGTTAATTAAGGGTTGGATGTTTTATCTTATTACATTTGGGGACATTGTGTGACTTGTGTTGAGAACTATTAATTTTGTACTACAAACTTGGAAAGTTATAAAGGTCAGACGGCTTTATCACGCACTGCTGAGACACGAAATTAAAATCCCTACCGAAAGGCATTTTTCACACAGTTTTCGTTTAAAATGAAATGTAGGCGGGTTAGGGCGACGAGACGCTTTTAACATTCTGTGAAGAGGGCAACGCAAATATTTGTGTCGGCCTGAAAATTAACCATTATATGCTACAATTTAGATCTTTAAATACGGAGAAGTAGTTTTCTAAAAAGTTACCCGTTGGACCTTTTAAAACGTTTGAGGGAAATTCTGTGTGTGCAGACTGATAGAGGGTCTATTTTTAGAACGTCCACCACCTTTTTCATTGACGAAAACGTGAGAAAATTAATATTTACGCTTGATCAGCCTCACATACCTTCATCCCTTTTGTATTCGGATAAGAATGGCGGTTTGTAATTACTGAAATTACTACAGTTGCAATTATTGTGCTTCGAAAGACATCATTTGAAACATTTGTAGGTCAAACCTCATGCAACAGGAATATTAATCAGAAAGAGCCAGTTCATGTAAAAGACGAGTATAATTATAGAATTCTTTTGTCAAAGAGATTCAATATTTTACTATTAACATTTTATACGAGCTCGCAAATCCATTGCCATACCTTAATCCTTAGATAATGCTATACTCACTCGCGACTCCTTTAGTATTTTCGTTTACACAGAAATGCACCTGCGAATAACATTATGCACAAAATTTGAATTACCACCGAGTAAAATGATAGGGTTAAAAGCATTCGCTCGCATTACAAGTTTTCCTATACTTATAATATACAAAAAGTGAAACAAACAATATAGTGCAGATATTTCAAATAAAGTCGAAAGATACAAAGAGCCTGTACCTACTTTGCGTTTGTGCGCAAGAAAGGTATGAATAGTGTTATTGTGTTTCTCACTAAAAGACGTTATCCCCCTCTTACCCTCTAGGATTTCAATTTTTCACAATAACTTTTTTAGTTCTTCTGTTTTTTTTCTAATAAGGTGCATGCGATTTGTCTTCACTTTTAACTTACTATAGCGCGATTGCCATGTTAGTAACTACTGAACCTCAGTAGTTTACTCTATACCTAATTCTATCGCGAAATCCGTTTCTGCCTTTTATACAATACCCTAAGTACAAAGCAGCTATGGTATTATACCTGATAAATAATAAATGTTAGGTATCTGCTAAATCACTCCTTTCGGAAGTGGCAGTACTCAGAATCGATTGACCACGGAAACGCGAAATGGTCTCGGGGATTGAAATGGCTTGCGGTTTACAGAACCAAAATTTAAGGTTTATTCCAAATTACGTGTACATCAACCTTTTTGAAATTATCGAAGCTCCATAGTAAAACTGTACTTAAATAATACTTGAATCAATAATTAGCATTATACTTTCAGGTACACGAGGATTGGGCAACCGATTCGATGAGCAACGGCTTACACTGCGGATACACCGTGGTAGAGGGTCCTCCACCAAGCACCTCCACGGATCGCCCCACAGCACCGGTAGCAACAGCACCACAACAACAACAGGAAGTGCATCCCCTAGTCCTCGTGGAAAGCACGAACGTGTAAAAATTAGTGTTAGTTATCCATCGACCGAGAACGTATCATCTAATTCGGCGCCCCACTTACTCGCCGTCAGTCCAACGTCTCCAATCGCCCAAGCGAGCTACGCCGTGCACTACACGACCAATGGAAAGGATATCACATCAACCAATTTGTATCGTAGAGAGAACCACTTACGGGTACAAAATCGTTTGGGTTCGCAAAACCACAAACCTATCAGACGGTCGAGCTTTGGGGGGCACATGGAAAGGGTCCGCGATCCCAGTCCTAGCCCGAGTGCGTTCGAGGACGGCTTTCACAAACCGAAAGTGATGTCGAAACGCATGGGAAAACGTAACATTAAAGCTCAAGTGAAACGTTTTCGAATGGAGACTAAGGCCGCAAAGACGTTGGGTATAATCGTGGGTGGTTTCATTTTCTGCTGGCTCCCGTTCTTTACGATGTACCTGATACGGGCGTTTTGCGGGGGATGCATTCATCCGCTACTATTTTCTATACTGTTCTGGTTAGGCTACTGCAATAGTGCAATTAATCCGTTGATTTACGCCTTATTTTCGAAAGACTTTAGGTTCGCGTTTAAGAGAATTATATGCAAATGCTTCTGTAAAGGGGACGGATCGCAGAGTTCCCGGAGAGGTTCGGATGGATCTCAACTTGCCGGAAGGCATTTCCGTTCGCCTAGTTATAACACGACACAACACGCGAATTCGCTAGGAGAAGAAAGTGATCCAGGGGGAGATCCTTCGGACTCGAGGTGACCAAACAAGAAAAATCGGTCCGTTGCTCAAATGTATCTCGACAACAATTCGCCGTTTAAAATGGCGATGTACTTGTACGGATGACAGGAGCATGAGTGTTAATGACTGTAGCTAGATTTATTACGTGTTTTTAATATATTTATGCATTTACGGAGAGGGAAAAACTAACGACTTATTAAACCTGTAATTATAAAGCAATTGCTATAGAAACAACCTCACCTGCTGATTCGTACCGCACAAACCATAAGTTCATTTAATTAAGGCACCACTTAGTTTTCGAAACCGACTGAAATTTTTAGATTTGTATGCAACGACAACCTAATACGCCCATCGTTTTGACAGGTAGATGATCTGTTAAGTTCCTTTCTAGATGTCCCATTTGCTTAACCTTTCTAGGTATAAGTAATGATCTCATATTTTCGTAAGTATTTGCGTTGTATTACCTACTAAGTATTATTTCTTGACATGTGGTATTTTAGTAAATCTAGTCTTCTGTATAAACGGGTAGCCATAAGCAAATGAGATATCCAGATTTTTATCGGCGTTTTAAATCGCCGTTCACAAATGAAGGCTGTGTTCTTTAGCCAAATAAAATATTAGCGTTTGTACCTTTAAGCGGTCAATATATAATACAAAATGTATATTTCACCAATCATCATTTATAGTGGATGTGATCCAAAATAAGGGTGTTCAATATTTACCCGATCTTAGAAATCAGTCTATAATAAATGTTAAATTTCACTAAAAGGTACTATTTTAATGCTATCGTAAATGTACATATATATTCATAATTGTCAAACAATTCAAAAATGTAACTAATGGCGTGTATAATTATGTAAAACAACACGTTAAAAATAAACTACTACATTGTTTTGATTGACTCTAAACATGCAAACAATCCTGGTTAAAACACCCTGAAGTGATTATCGTCGGCTACATGTTAATCGCATATTCAATCTGCTTTGTTAGCAATATTTAGGAACAATATCCCGAGGGCTTATTATATTGCCGGAAATTTTAAAAAAGGAGTAAAAAAAAATAGACCACATTAGTGCCGAATTCTCAGGCAAAACGTCGGCCGCCTGTTAGTAGGACTAAACTAAATTGTTCATGAATGATTGCCGTACATTTTCTTCATTGTTTTTAAATAAAGACTTTTGGATTCTTTTCGTTGAAATAGCCCAACTGACTACTATTGTATTTTCGATAAATTGCACACGCGCTTTAATTTGTTCCTTAATGGACAGTTTTCTACAGGTTTTTATGGCTCAATTTTCAATCAAATAAATACCCATCCAAAATATCTTTAGCCCTAAAGAAAAACACAATAAACAATCAACCTGGGGTGTTGATGTTAATGGTGGTTCAGAAGAGGGAGCTCATGCGGATTCAAGATATTTCTCTGTATAGCACTTAAGAACAAAGGCGTGTCTTAAAATAGACGTTAGGAACGAGTTTAATGAGAACAATAGAGATTTCTCAATGGGTAAAAGAATTGTTCATTCTTACCTCAATCCAACATATAAAACTTGATCTTATTCAAAGGTTGGTCCATCACAGAGAAGCAAAACAAAGATACCCCATAGGATCAGTTCTGGTATTCATCCAATCGTGCAAGCAATGGAATCAGAGCTCTTGGTGACGGCTCAATTTCTGATACCACAACTTCTCGGGATATCCATAAACAGGAAAATAGGAAACGAAAATGGTCTGACTTTAGACGATTCCAAATGTGATCTAGGAGACCTCTTACGTGATTACTACTTGATTCCTCCTTTCGATTTAAGTTACATATATGTCTCAATTAATAAAAGTATGCTTACTTATCGTTAAAGATTTTATAGTATAGATATACTATCATTCAATAAAAAAAATGTTATCAGAAACCTTTGCTCTGTCCCATTTTAAGTATGGTTGCTCCGATTATGACCCATGTTTAGATCGTATTGATATATACAGTACACAACAAATTCAAAATTGGTGCTGCCTCTGTACGTGAAGCTTTCTAACTCTCTTCCCACATTCATTACCGATATATTAATTTAAAAAAAAAAACATTTAAAGGCTTACCTTCTTAATATAAGCACGTCAAAATTTGCAATAGTTCTTGCAGATGAATAATGTTGTGTTCTTGTTTTATTTGTATTCTATCATAATTTGATTATCTTGTGTTGTGCATATTTAATTTTTACTTATCTCCGTGCCCTCTAAATAGTTAAATAGAATAGAATTTCACCAGGGAACATATTCAATAAAGACTATTTTATAATAATTATTATTTTTTATTTTGTCACATTTCAACACAATCATACATTTTAGCAAGTTTTCGAATATCAATTTCACTCATTACATTCGTTACTCCAATGGGAATAGTAGAATCACCCTAGAACGAAATGTTACTTGAAATGTATAAAATAGCGATCGATATACCCTACCTTAGGTAGTACTGTCGGTTTACCATTGGCAGAAAACGCTGTTTTTGCGTAGTGCATGATACTGCCGTAGTCATAGGTTTCATTGAAGCTCGTCACGAAATCAGCATTGTACTTGTCGAAATTATACTCCTTTCCTAAGAAAATATTAGCAATTACGTGGGGTATTTCTTTAAAAGTTTGAGGTACCTGGTTCAATATTTTCCCAAAATATATCCACGAAGTTGTCCCTGTCTGTGGAACTTTGCTGGTGGTAAAAACCGGCAGCGTGCAAAAACTCGTGAACGATTGTGTGGTTCCAAACACACCCCCTAACTTGCAAATTCAACCCCTGTAATCCTCCCAGTCGGCCAACATGCGACCAACAGCCGGAATCTCCGCCCTAGCAGAAATATAATTAATCCCTACTTCCATAAGGGATGGTAACTTACAGTAACGTAAACATAATCCGCTTCATTAACGCGTGGTTTCACTGTTACGCAAGTCTTGGCAAACTCTCGTTCGAGTACTTCATTAATTTGCGCCTTTTGCTGTTGATCTAGAATGGAAAAGTTAGAAAAACTCTACTGCTAGATAGACGACTTACCAAACTCGTCCGAGAGTTCGTACGGTATATGTCTGTTTGTCCATCTTAATTTGACATCAATAACTCCATTTTTTTGCCATGGTGCCAACACCATGTCGCCTTCAAATTTACCGCTTCGTTGCCATAAGTCGTGATCAGAGAGTGGAGTCGGAAGTGCTTGCACTAACGCTGACGAAACCAATAACACTATTGCGAACATTGCTGAAGGGAATGTTAGACGTCGAATCATGATCTTTTAGGACTAGCTGCTCCTTATATATCCGTTAATCCATGCGATATCAGTAAGTGTGAAGGGTACTTAATTGATAATTTGGAAGTCGAGTTGAAAACCACTCATAATTTCCTGTCCCGATATCAGCAAAGATAATCGTTGTGGGAAGCGAAATGGTTTTTTTTACAAACCGCTGGTTTTTGGTCGTCACTGAAAGAGATAATCGGTTGCCCTTTTCTTTTGTAACAATTTTTGTTTAGTTCGCAGTAGCTACCAGTACTTTAGTACTACCCGACGGTGGGCTCATTCATAGAAATAAGTTGGATGGTTGTTAAGCTCTATTTACCATTACAGAGCAGAATTTATAACTTAGTGATTTATAACTTTCATTCTGTTCTAGATGATACTGGACCTTGATGTAGCGAACAAAGCACTTCAGAGATCTTAAACAAAAGACATTATAACTGTCCACACAGAGAGTCGCTAGTTACTGAAGAGGTTGATTATGAGCACCAACGTGGCTGAAAGGCTCGCCAGTCAACTTCTCCTATCGCCAGTAAAAACTCACTTACCTGGCTAATAATGTAAAATACTATACTGAGCCGTCTCCATGTGTCATATTTGAAATTTTCTTTGAGTAGAATTTCTAATGGAAACAATTGGAATACTTTACAACTCAGCAAAAACTTAAAGCAAGAATTATCTCCTCTTTCAAGGGGACACTCACTGCGTTGTATCATACCACAGATTAAATTTGTGATAATATGGTAGTAAAGTCGGGGTGAGAATAGTCTAGTCAAAAATGTACCCTTTTAATTAAAACGACATAGCGATCGTTTATTTCACAAAGCTTGCGAAATTACAGTCGTTACTGTTTGGTAAAATCAAGAAATAGTCTATTTAAAGACGTCAATATTGCTTTCTATCGTAATTGAAATAAAGGTGTTTACATCTGCCACTTGAAGATTCGTAATAATTCTCTGATCGTCCTGTTTCGTTAAATATTTATGAAAAATCTCCTATTCAACTGTAAATTGCTCTGTTCTTAGTCAATACGATTGCAGCTTTTTGTTCTTATAGTAGCATTTAGTGAAGTGTAATAAAATAACTTCGTAGCTCTTGAATTCAATTTCAAGATACCTTTCGAGTGGAAAAAGATTTCAAGTAGTTCCTACTTATTAAGGTCGACTATATTGATAGTACATTATCACTAAGCTCTTTATCGGTTATCTACGTATTATTATCATTATGATTAAAGAAATACAAGAAAGCGATAAAGACAAGAGAAAGAAAAATTTGATAACTTTAATGTAAAGTGAAGCCCGTTTCCGTGCATACCATAGCAACACAGTTCCTTATAAAATTGTATAATCGAACGATGAAAGCTCCAAAATTGCAGTCTTGTTCGTCTCCGTGCAGCGAAAATTCTAAAGGATTATAACTACACAAATTGAATTGGAATTGAATAAACACACAATTAATTGATCCGAAACACATGAAATGAAAAGTTAAAACAAAATTCCTGAAAGAAAGAAACGCTTATAAAACTTGCTTGAACAAATTACCCCGCACAGGCGGTCGATAGTTACAAATATCAAAAAACTTAAATTACTGACAGTTTTTCGCTTACTAATCTGGTCGTACAAAGATTTGGGATAACAAGGTGCACTTAACAACATTAACTTGGTAAATAAAATAACGAGTTGCCGGTGGGTCTGCAAACGGTACAAACTTTTTACTGTTAATAATAAGAGAAAGCCTCGCGTTTACACCAACTGCTTGATTTTTCAACTTGATAGACTTTTTCCACAAAGCGGCTAAACCGCTTTAAACTCACACAGCTTAGGTTAACTTGTTTCTGCACAACATTTTTATAATAGTGACAAACTACGCCTCGAAATAATCAAATCGCTTTCCAACCGTCGAGAACAAGCCACGTATCGAACTTAGTCTTCACGAACAGCGGGGAACCCAAGTTCTTTAATGTGAGGGTTCTTAGCTATTGATTGAAGGCAACATTGAAAAGTCGTAATGAGCTCTCCATCCATCACCTAACCCTAGCATCACAGTTCCATATAAAAAGCGTTTATTGCAGACTAAAACCCTACGTATATAATACGCATAAATGTCCGGTAGATGTTGCTGTATTCTTGTAGGGATATTATGCGTTTATTATTTCCCATTGATATACGATTTATATGCGTATATGAAAGTAGTGTTAAGTATATACGTTTATAAAACGAATGCTAAAAAACGGTTATTTATATACGTATTATCAACGTATAAAGTGAACTCTATGGTGTATATTTATATATATATATAAACGCCACGTCTCTTTAATTCCGTTGGAAGTGAAATTAAATCGTGGAGTTGAGTTTGGTTACAATTTTAAAAGGAGTCAGTAGGTAAGTTCAATCCAGAGGCCAGGTCTGATCGGTGTACCGGCCGTTTCGACATGTAAATACGATTTGATACGGGTCCACTGAATCGACCTAGACTAATGGGGTCAGACTACCTCGATGCGATTAGAGCCTTGCTGTTGGAAACTTCTTATAGTTTCATAGTTTCTGCTGCGCTTGTTTGGAAGTTAACACTCAGTAGACGCTTTTCATAATCGAATCCGGCTCATTTAGCGTAGTGAGGTGGATGTAAGAAACCCAGATTCGAATGCGGGTTCTTTAAGTAGGTTGGTGAAGCATCAACTGCATACAATGTGTGTATCGTGCATACAAGGAACCACAAATTCAAACAAATTCGCGTGAATCCAGTCTCTGTAAATGACACGCTTTTTTGTATTAATCATGAGAAGAGCTTACTACAAAGTATGAGACGAGGTGAAACCTGTACAATTTTGAAGCAGATAATTTATTACTTACGTCATAAATAATTATTGTACAAGAAGGAACGGCAAGAGATGGGCTTTCGGAAGAGCGAGAGTTATATTAATCCCTTAAGCGGTGGGTTTAAAGCTTAAAAGGTGTACATGACTAGAGAGCACGTCAGTTTGTATTATCCTCATGGTAGTGAGGGCATTTTTAAGTTGCTATGAGATGTTCCGACAGGTTTGGTGTAACATGTCTTGTGAACCGTAAGTTTGTTCTTCATTCTTGACACGTGTGACCCGTTACATGAGAAACTGCCAAAATGGCTTTATACCTAAACAATAATAATGTGTGAAAACTTTCCACATGTGCTATTTGTTTAGTAAATACCTACGTATAAACCTATTCTCTATTATAATAAACACAATTCGATATCACAATGCAACTTTATTTACAACGAACGTATCAACTCAGAACTGAGTTCTTTTGCCACCATGGTTTACAATTACAACCGTACAAAATACGCAAGGGGCACGTTAATTTAGCTTTACGATTAATTAGCTGGTAATAATCACCATAATAAATATCAGTCGTACGCAATTTTATCTGCAAGTATCACACTTTAAAGCTCGCTTTCTGAGTGACCAAATGCTGTTGTATTCCCTTACCCCCCGCTAACAAGATTTGCACCTCTCCTAAACTCTTTCCTTTCGTCTCTGGGATGTACGTAAGCGTAAATAGGAACGCAAGTACGCATACCACACCAAAAATTATGAATGTGAATCCAATTCCAATTTCATCCCTTAGCGGAATGAAAAGCTTAGTAACTGTAAACGCCAAGGTCCAGTTGAACGTTGTCGAGATCGAGCACGCAAGTCCTTTCACCTTAGTCGAGAAAATATCGCCAGCTATCATCCAGGGTATTGGCCCGAAACCGACAGAGAAAGCAACTATATAAACTGCGGTGCATACCAGTGGAACAAACGCAAAACTTGTTACGTCATAATCCAATATAGCCAAGTGGAAGTATACGCCAATGGTAATTAGACAGACTGCCATTATCCATCCGGATATAAGCAACAAAATCTTTCTGCCCAATCGCTCGATGAGCGTTGCAGCCATTAGTGTTGCTAAAACCTGGAAGCAGAAGATTAACTGTTGTTCAGCAGGCGGCTTAAGCTTACTTGAACGGTACCAATAATAACAGTGCAACAACCGGAAGAAAGCGAGCCACTCGCGTCCTTGAAAATAGTTCCAGCGTAGAACAATATGGCGTTGATACCGCTAAACTGCTGGAAGAACATCAGGCCCAAGGCAATAATCATCGCTTTCATTGTCGCTTGACATCTGTACAAGTCCGAAAACTTGCATTGGTTAGAAGCGATTTCGTTAAGCTCTTCCTTTCTTGTCGACAGCTCGTTTTCGATCTCGTGGCCGTGACCTCTTAGGAACTGTAAGGCCATTCTGGCTTCGTGAATCCTGTTTTTTGAAAGGAGAAAAGTGGGCGACTCCGGCATGAAGTAGAAAGCTACTAGGAAAATAATGGGAAACACCGATGAGACCAGGGCGAGGATTTGGAAACTTTCAATAAGGACTCCTGAAAGAAAATATTCCTTCACTCTACATTTAATCGATTACTTAATATGAGATCAAAAAGTTTGCATTTCCTGAACAGTTGATTTTATCGAGTTAACTCACCGAAAGTATATCCTATTAGGAAACCTATAGTTATCTGTAACTGGAAGAAGGTTCCCAGCAAGCCACGAACTCGTACTTCCGCTATGTCCGTTACGTACATTGGTGCCGCCACACATGTTGATCCTACACCAACTCCCGCTAACAGTCTTGCTAAATATATCACCCAAAGGTATTTACTGAAAGGCAAAAAAAAAACAGACTCAACGTCAAAGCCTAATCTTCATAGAAGTATAGAGCCTTTCCACTAAATGAAAAATACAGAATTTTCATTGATAGCTAAAGAACGTTTTAAACTATCGTAGATAAGCGTTATCGTCGTAGTAGGATGTCTCCACGCGATAAAAGGGTTATCAATGAAAACGTTTAACCTACCCTACGCGACGAGTTGCCATTAATTAATTAATGTCGGGGGGCCAATGAGAACTTTTTACTTTCATTAAACTGAAGGTTTGTGGCATTTAGTGGCTAAAATGTAAAGTAGAAACAAAATTGATACTATTTTTGATGAAATCAGTTCCTTTGAGTTGAAATGCGTTTAATTTCAATGTCAAAAGAGATTCAAGTCTATCTTGAGCGATAAGCCGTTTGCGACGAGTTCATATGTCACTACTAGTGCGTTCTGGTAGGTGCTGAATTTGACGAAATGTCATACCTGAATGCAATAAGGTACCACGACACCAGCAGAGGTATAGCCATTATCTGAAGTGTTCGTTTTGGTCCCACTGCATTCGCGATTACTCCTGTAGGAATTGCACCGGCGCAGGCACTCAAGGTAATTACCGATACTATCCACGATCCTTCGGTGCTTGATATCGGTATTATTGATAACGGTGACTGCAACATTGGGAGCGCAGTCGATGGCCATGATAAGTGCGTTCCAAGGATCAGCGCTGAAAGTGTTCCTGAAGCAAGCAAATCACGTTAGCACTTTGATGTGTGTGATTTAAAATATAAGAGTAGGAATTTAGTAGCCACATGCTTGACATACCGACTGCAGCAGCAACGTACTGAGGCCATGTACGGATAGGTGTAAAGGGCATCTTTATGTCTTGTACTATCATTATAGCTCTAGAAATGCCATTAACCAACCAACTGTACACTGATCTTATCCCATACAAGATTACTATATTATACTCATACCAGGTCAAAAGGTCGCGTAACTAACCAACTGATAAGGTAATCGTTCCAATTATTGACACCAGACGAAAAGTTAAACCTATTGTTTTTGATAATTTCTTTAACCTTTAGGAGTTTATTGCTACAAGCAAGTCAGCAGTGTCGAGACTGTTATCACCCTCCAGAAACAAATACAGGGTAATACCCGCGCTATTATAAATATGTTTTGTTGTGAGTTTCTGAAAAGTCTAGATGTTGTTCCATGTGATGGAAAATACGCAAATTGTAGAAATCATTTACCCAATTTGCATTCTGGAAAGTTTTAAATACGTTGCATCCTACCTTTAACCATGGAAATGGGACTGAGGAACCTCATTCAGTCATTCTGAACTATGTGATGGACTGGGCTATTACATAAGTAAGGGTTGAAACTTCCCTTCGTCCTGCCCCAAGCTGGTGCTGAGCTCTCCAAGATCTCCGCACACTCGCGATTATGGTTGAATGCGTCGTTGGAATGGAGCTCATACCTATTTGAGAAAGGGTTACGCCGCGCGCACGTGTATTATTTAGGATACACATCCCCCTCGACCCTCGGACCAGGACTTTCGGCCAATAAGATAAGTAACAACGATCTATACTATTGACACAACGCATTAGCCTCCACTTCAGAAAACTTCCCGTTCGGTTAATTTCGTAATAATCTTTTATGGATTAATGTTTTTTTTCGGTTAATAACACTTGCAATCGTGGTTTTACTTTTTATTTCTATTCTATTCTACGTAGTACGTAAATAATTCCACCAGGGTTTCTATGACGGCAAATGTCCGCACAAAGCCAAATTCGAGAATCCTCTTAGAGCCTCTCCAAAGACTAATTTCCTTAGATTATTAACCCCGCCCAAAATAGCGGATTGTTAATGGAAGAGCTCATTAATTAATTTTCAATGGTTAAGAATCCTATTTCAACCAATCCCGAACTAGTTATAGGGTCGTTAATTATTCCCATCCCTTTCCAGGAAAAAGCTGACTCGAAAGTTTCCACGGTGATGTTAGTTTTATGCTGCCAACGACTGTAACTTTATCAAGCAATTAAAAGAGACTGAACTTGAGATCCACTCGAACTATCGCGGCGCCGTAATATCCTGAACTAATTAAGACGGCAAAAAAGGCATTGAAACTTGAATGAGGCAGAAAGGGATTTCATCTTGCAGATATATACATTTTTTTTGCATAAATTAATCCACTAGTCATTCAAAATACTAGGCGTTCTAAAACCGCGTTCTTCCATTTCTTTGGATTCTTCCGGTTTTTGAGTTCACATTGTTTGAATTTCTTCCAATGCTTTATTTCACTAAATCTTTAAAACCTTCACTTTCATAATTTGCGTATTCTTTAAACATAGAGCCCATTCCTCGATTTCCGCTTCTTTAGATGTTACACATATTTTTCGTCTAATTTAGATTAGTGTGATCTTTCAGATTCTCCCATTTATTCGAATTTTTCGGTTTCTTCCGGATTTTGGGTCCATTGAGGACGTTTGTTTCGTTCTAGATTTATCGGACGCGTCCTGTGACGATTGGAATTTTCTGTTCTTTAGGTTCTTCCAATTTTTTGAATATTTCATTCACTTTCTTTTGTTTAAATTGTTCCATTTTTTTTTCTATTCCTCGCATCTTTTTTCCTTTCTTGGGTTGGGCTATTTCACGCCTACGCTCTTTGACCCTTGGGTCTATTGTACGTACCCCAGTGTCTTACTCACAAAGAGGCAGTTTGTTAAAAATCTGAGAATCCTTTCCAGCTGCAGCCCCTTGGTCAGCTTAGGTGCTATTGTAGCCTCCTCGAAGGAGACGCGACATGTGTTATACTCAGCTACCCCGATTTTGTCGAGATGATATCTTAGGGTGCTGCCCAGTGACCAGGCTAGGTCACTTCCGCTGAGTTCTAGCAACTTGCTGGTTTTAGTCTCCTGAAAACTGATCGGTTTTTTGGATGCGCTTAGTCCCACAGACGTTTCCACTCTTTTTTAAGCTGGCTTCTCTACCACTCCTCCAGCTAAACTTATTGCTTACACTTTGGGGACGCTTGGTGTCGGCCTTAGCGAGGCGTCAGTCCTCCGCAATGACCTCTGCGCACTAGCTATAGCTATCTTTGTCTCTTCGTCAATGGAGTCATATGTGGGACAGACGAAGGTCCATTGTTTGTCCGGCATGCTTTTCTCAATCTTAGAATGAGGTTATGAAGGGTTCCCGTAGACCGACCCTTTTGATATGCATGTTGGTTGGTTTAAAAGGTAACCCAGGAGCAGCGGATGAGACAGTTACTCGAACGTGAGGAACTAGGGGACCGCAAAACACCTCAGACAACCTCCGAAGGTCCATTTGGGACAGCAGATTTCCGACCAACATCCACGAGATAACGAGCTAAGTATTTGCCAGTAACGAAATAGGAAGTATTTGGACCGCCCCGAAAAAGGGAATTACCACGAATTAGTAGAAGGATACCGCCCCGGACCAAATCGCCAGGATTCATGCGAAATCCACGAGACACCACATCCGTACCAAAGAGGGACCATCGGCAGACTAAAAACCGCGGAGACTAGCAACCGGAAAACTCGATACCGCCCGGAAGACCTTCGGAGAGCCATTGGGCATCACCGCTACATCTGGTGCCCAATAAAACGAACGAATGGAGACCGTGCGGACACTACCGTGCGCATAACTCACGAACCATCTTGGATCGCTAAAACATTTTTCCCACCATCGATCTGGTGAGCCGTGCCAGTAAATTCCGGGTGCAGAAAACGACATTTCGAGGACGGCAATTATTACAAGATTGTTCGGATTGTTCGAATTTCCATTATGACGTTCGGACTACGAAACTCAGCATAAACGTTCCAGAGGTTCATGGACAGCATAATAAGGGACATGGATTTCTGCTACGCCTACATACACATATCTTCGTGACATTAAGAGACCAGGAAAAGCACCCCGAACAAAACTGTTCCAGCGACTGAACGACAACGGAATGGTAATAAACGCGGATAAATGTTAGAAGGAGATCGAATTTCCGGCCCGATAGATACTAAAGTGCTAGCAAGCCATACTAGATTTCCCTCAGCCCAAAACCTCAAAGAAGCTTCACCAAATTCTGGGGGTGGTGAACTACTACAGACGGTTCCTCAAAGACACCGTATAAACTACTGCATGAGCTACTGCAAGGAAAGATTCGAGGAAACCAGTGGACAACCGAAGCACAGGAAGCATTTAAGCAATGCAAACAGTAAATGGCCAATGCAACTATGATATATCACCGCTCGTATTCTTCTCGAAGAATCTATCACCAGAGGAACGCAAATATTGAGCATACGAATATACGATAGTGATGGTTATACAAAGTGATTGAAATTTTAATAACATCTATTCTTCTTACTTCATATTTATGCGTACAGGTACATTTTTAGCCTAAAGTAAATAGCTACCATGTGGCTTCATGCCAGTATTTTGGTATGTCGTTGGTATTTATTTAATTAGTTACCTATATTTATCAATGCAAGAATTTTTATATCATAGGACCACTTCTCTAAACTACTTAAATCGTTGGCGCAACTGGAGCTACAATTTTAGCACTCGCGCTGGGCCCTTTAAGTAATACTTCAGGAGCAACGGGTAGATTGGTGGCCGCAACACGAAAACCGTTAACGGGATCGGAAATATAACTTACGGTTTGGATTTCTCCCCTAGCGTCCAAGTAAGAATATCCACCACGCGTTATGCCGTCCGCTGTTTTTGCTTCGCTTTTCGAGCTTAATGGGCCAACGTAACCGTATGAGTATTGGCCGATTCCGTCTTGGGCGTGGTACTGGGATGATGGGAGTAATGGTATGGCAGGCACGTACGAGTAATAGGGAATCGCTGCCGGTGCAACTACAGGAGCGGAAATGTGAGCGGGGAGTGGACTCACAACAACTTGAGAAGCATCACGGGCTTTTATCGCCTCGAAAGTCGCAAGGTGTTCCGCTTTTGCTCGAGCTACCTCAGGGAGGTCTTGAACCGGAACGGGCGTTGCACTGTGGGCCGCAAGTGCAGCATGTTCGGCTTGTGTCGCTTGAAACTTGGCTAGATGTTCAGCCCTTGCTTTTACCACCTCGGGTAAGTCTTGAACTGGCGTTGGCAACAATTCAATTTTCTTTACTTGCGAAACGGGCACAACGATGGGGTTAGTGTAATGCGCAGCAATGGCAGCACGCTCCGATTGCGTGGCTTGGAACTCTGCCAAATGTTGAGCTTTGGCTAGCGCCACATCGGGAAGATCTTGTGGTAGATTCGTTGCCGCCACCCGAAATCCGTGAATGGGATCGGCGAAATAGCGTACAGTTTGCAATATCCCAAACGAGTCTAAATACGAGTATCCGCCAACGGTGACCCCGTTAGCACTCTTCGTCTCACTTTTAGTACTCGTGGGTGTCGCATATCCATACGCGTACTGTCCCAAAATATCCTGCGCGTGGTACTGCGAGTAAATTGGGAGAGAGTATGGTGTTATCCCTATGGTGACACCGGAGCTCGACACGCCCCAGATTGATAATAAGGCAATAAACAGTCGCTAAAATAAATGAATGCCATAATAAATTAAAAAATAAGATAAAACTCACCAATAATTCCATTTTATGCGCTTCTATTTCAAGAACTCACATTAACTACGTTTATTGCACCTTCATGAAATTATTATATAGCGGGCCTCGCCTTGCTTTATACAGCAAGTACGCAATACACCACTAGAATATTCCGCCAGCACCTTGAATTAATTTAAAAGATTCTTGAAATTATTTATAACTGGATGGCTTTTTTAAGATCAAGGATAATTTTTTGATGCATTCCGGTACGCATAATGTCTCGTAACCGTTCTCGCGGAAAACAACCTGTAATTTTGCTGTGCCAATCAAGGCTACAATGAAAAACAGAAATATTGGGTGTGGATAGGAGATGAAATTATGTTGTTTACAAATGCGACCACCGAAAACACTGTTCTATGTTACATAATTGCGCATGATAAAATGTTAATTGCACACCTACCTACGGTTTATTGGTATACAGTTTTTTTACAGTTATGTTAATCGAAAATACCATGGCACTCTCCTTTGGGTCTAGTCCGTACAGGTGGAAACCTTGGCAATTATATAGATATTGTTTTTGCATTCTTTAAGTCGGAAATGGACGTCTTTGTAAATCTTGTCGACAGTTAAACGGTCTGTAGGTAGTCGACGGTAACGCTTCTCGTGCTTGAGTAACTTCGCTAATAATCACGATCGAAGTTGTTTTGGTGTAGGAGGTACCTATACCTCTACCATTTCTCTAGAGTGAATAAAAACGGATATTCATAATTTTCCTACTGAACATTGACGCACAAAAGCCTTGCAGGTGTCTAGTAAAATTCCGTCGAATTGGAGATATAAATATTGACCTCTATAATACAAATAATGCATCGCGAATTGCAATTCATGCATCTTTTGTGTTAATCATATAAGGTGGTGAACTATATTCACGAGGATCCACACCTCTAAAGCACCATTAGTACATAATTACCTTTAACATTTTCCTATACATACCGTTTAATTACATAATAAATCAGGTTTGCAAGTTTTCTAGTTACGTACATCTTTCAAAAAAAACAAGGAGTTCATTACAAATAGGTTGTTTCATTCATGTTTTATCAAGCTAACCGTTGAAAAAACGCCTTGTATATGATAGTAGCAAGATTCGTCCAGGTAAATTCACCCCCCGGAAATTTCTCACATCGAAGGTTCGACCTCAGAAACCGGCCCCAGGAATATTGGTCCCACAAAATATCAGGAACTACCTTCGTTCTCAAAAAAATCCTGGCCATTTTATTGGTATATGAAGGTAGAGCTAGAGAACTATCAAGAGTGAATTTATGTACAGACTGAGTAGGCTAAAGCCCGAGGCGTCGAAAATAGAGTGTGAACCACCTTGTCACCTAGTATGACCTGCACAAAAAAAACAAAATAATGTAATGCCACGCAAAACTTCAGGGCTAACACTGAAAAACGTAAACGAGACTGTTCCTCACTGAATATAACTTCAAACGACCACAAAAACTAGACAGATTATTTTATGTTCACAAGCAATTTTTTCAATTAGACCTTGTTTCTCTGAGAAGGAACTAGGGGAAACTAGGTTAGGGTGAATTCAATTAATTTAATACTCAAGTCACAGTAGGTACCTATCTTATTATTAATTTGGTCAGGCGCTTATTTTTCATGGCGAAATAAAACTAACACCACTAATTCCGCTGTCTCACGATTTCATATCTCAGCAGGTATAGAAACACAAACCAAAGATAAACAAATGGAAAACCTGGAAAAATGTTGAGCTGTAGTTACGTATCAATTATTACTGAATTAACATCAGAATCCACGATTTCATGGGTCTTGCGCACCATATTGATCTGAAATTCCTGTAAGAAATCCGCTTTCTTCATTATGAAGCTTTCCTTCCATATTTTAATAAACGGGAACTAGAAACCATGCACCTTGTCAATCATTTATAATGGTATGACAGTTTTAACTTGTTGCATTAAGCAAAACCCTGTTGAAAGCTTTTACCTTTTAATCGCAATGTTGGCTGTGGCAGTTCGGCGATTATAAGTCGGCCTATTTTGCATACGATTTCTAATGTAAAACTAAAAGCGACTGTTTTCCTTCAAGCTTTTATCGCCCTTCAGTAAGTGAGTTGAAATTAAAAACAGAAATGATGTTATCAAGTGTTATTGTCACTCCCCTCTCAATTAGTCAACTTTCCTATAATTTAAGTACAAGTCGGTTTTCTACAAACGTGAAAAGGATAAACTTGAGTTAAGTTTAACGTGAAAAGGTAAGGATATCAAATTCCTTCAAAAGTGTGAATGGGAAACTTTGTTATTACTTTAAAGCGTAATATAATTTTTGCGATATTTTCCTTTAAATTTTAATCGATACACTCCCACGTGCTATTATTTAAATCTCTCTTTAAATCAACCACTCAGCTTTCCAAATTTTCATTACTGTTTTCTTAATATTATTTTCCCCGTATTTAAATTATCATCCATTCCTTAAAAACGCCTGAAGCGTGACCAACATTCCCGTGTACTAAAGTTTGTTTGTATTTAACAAAGGTCATTTCTCCTTTTTTCGTGTTTCTAATTAAATTTTAACGCAGCTTTCCTTCTAGTATCATAAATTTCCCTTCACTTTTATCCATTTTCTTCACTGTATCAAATTTAATTCACCGTTTTCTATTAAACCCTCTTAGTATCTGTTCATCTGAACTGCTTTCATATTACATTTTTTTCCTTCGCGTCGTTTTCTTATTCTATTTTCGTAATTACCGCTTTTTTCTATTGTAATTTATTTTTTCCTTCCTTCAATTAGTTAATTCTTTTTAACAGTGAGTGTATCTTCTTCTATTTATTTCATAGTTTCTTTTTAGTTTTTTAATTTTTGTCGCACGCAATTGCTTACTAACATAAATAATACACTATAATTCATCGTTTTTATAAATTTGCAATAAAATTTCCTGTGAACAAAGGAGTACGAGGCCGTTTTTTAACCGTAAGGATAGATAAAGTGAAACAGATAATTGTGCATTCTAATGACATCTGTGATTCTTATTTCAAATGCACGATATAAAATGATGTTCAGAACATATGACAATTCTATTTCTATGGAAACGAACGCGGCGGTAGAACCTAAGTTTGCTATTTTTGACGTCTCTAAATTAAATTCAGAATTGTCAGAAACTTTACAATGATTTATATGGCTTCTGCTATAAAATAAATTTTGTATTATACACGACGATAAAGGGAAACTAACCATCTCGTGAAAGTTAATTCACTCGTGGCTGCGTCCATGGGCTGTGATCATTAAAAAGAAGAAAAATTTCCGAAGCTTATTGCGTTTGACTATTTTTTCCATAGCCCAGCGCCTTTTTTTGCCAAAGACGATACAAAGATTAGGGGTGCAGTACAAAATCCCTATTTCCCAACATTCTATGGGAATCAAATTCCGTAAATTGCAATAAAATTTCTACTCAAAATTATGAATGAAAGTATGAAATACCTTCTCAACTTCAGAACAGGATGCGTAGCAATTTCAGGCGAAAGACTTTCAACTTCTTTATTTGGCGAAACCATCAGTCAAACAGCATCGTTTTATGCACTACGATTCATCAATTCCATATCATTGTTTCCCGGCGATACACGAAACACTGCTCCGTCGCACTGTATTGATAAACACATGCGTTATCTCGCACATGGTATTGTTATCACAGAACCAATTAGCTTTATCGACAAAAACCTCTTTTTTTAACAAACACCTGAGCAGATTAAACATTCACATTACGATTTCGATTGTTCCCTTATTTATGCGTTTTAGACAAGACATAGTATTAAATTAGTTAAACAATTACTAACTAAACTTACTATAAATAACTAAAATTAAAATGACAATTCATCAAACGAAAACGCCCTATTTTAGTTTTGATCCGTAACCATCTTCATGGTTGTTGAGGGTGTCAAAAGTTTAAGAGCCATAACGGCTTGAGAAATTTTTAAATTTTTTTCGCATACACTGGTCAAAATGGCTTAAAAACTCTACAAAACAGTTCATTACAATTTTTTTGAGAGTTCTTTGTTTTTGAGAAGTTTCGAATTGAAAAATTAAACTATTTATAAATAGTTTATTTTTCTAAATTTGCATTTATAAAAGTAATCATTAGAGTCAAAAATATTAATTACAAAATAGATGTATCTTGATGAGATCTACAAAAAAAGGCTTGACACTTTGTACGCCGGATTCACAATAAAGGCGCTAGAGGGCATTTTCTAAATATGACCAAAGATAATTGCAAGGGAATGTACAGGATCGACACAACGTATACCTATGGGGTTAATGGTACTTACAAAGACTACATGAAGTACAGAATTGCGAAATATACAAAAAAATCTACATAAACACCTAAGGAATCCAAACTGACCAAAATACACAGAATCCATAAGCTCGACAGACCACCGCTGAAGCGGAGTGCAGATTTAATCATCCATGAGAGTCCAATTGCATTAATAATTGCTTATATTGTTTCTGCCGATTGACCCTGTGGTTGTGCATAGTTCGATATAATTTGGAAGTGGTTCGGTAAACATATTTTGTGCATGCATTAATCTGTAAGTTGGCCCCCATTTGCTAAACCCATGATTATCTTGTGCATTCTGTTTGAAATTTGATATTAAAATACGATTTCGGTTAAATTTTAATACAAAACTCGTCAGTAAAATGACACCTGACTCGAAAAATAAAGTACTCGGCCCCAAAGATTCCTCGTACTTCAATATTTTCTTGCCAGTAATGTGTAATTTTCCTGACGTTCAGGTAAATAACAAGGTCTACTATGAGAGTCTTGGTTCGAGTTTAAATTCTAGAAACGGAAATGTTCCATTTACTTGCGGGTATCGACACCTGTTTCTTATCGGGAAACCTGTAGACCGGCTGGGGGCCATTTTGTTTGGGGGTTAATCTCTATGCAGTGGATATAGATAAGGACATAAGGTCATTGGGTCAACGGGAATTATTCTACCGAAAAGTACAAATGTTATTAGCAAAGGTAAACACATAGCACATAGAAAAATCGACTGCACGCATGCGCAGACTGCAAAGTGACAACTTTTTTACTCATGAAGATCTCTCTTTTAGAATTTTAACCGTAGACGCTTCTAGTAAAAACAAATAGGTATATCGCATATAGCAAAAATTAAATGACATGCGTGAACTACGCAACATTAACTTTCTTATTTATGGAGATATTTCTTTGCAAATTTTACCATAGATGGTAAAGAAATACATACCACACTAGTTATGGTGTTTTGGGAAGTACTGCTCAATGCATGGAAAATGCGCTGAATTACTCGCCTTAGGGCGAAAATCTGTTTACTTATTTTCTACGTCAACGCACTGGTCGGAAGTTATGGTTGCAGACACAGGAAGAAGTTTGAAGAGGGTTCAGGCAGGACATAGGGCTCCCAATTTCCAATCGTCCCCAGGCGGCGAAAAACCGCGCTACGCCACTGCATTAGGTTGTTTCCCTAACTCCAAGAACAGAAATGTACCACTTCCGTACTGATTTGTGCCTCAATTTCTACGTTTTGTATGTGTATGTTAACGGAGACATGGCCTTCAAAATTTAAGGGATACAACTTAACGTACCAGTAGGTACTTCGGATCCAGTTTTATTTGGATTTGGATTCTGTTCGTTTTATCCTTTTCAAACGATGTGGCCAATCCGCATTTCAAATCCTTTCCCTGGAAGTATTCGGATTATCACAAAGGAATCGTATCCAAAGTTCGTCCTCACGTCTGACACTGCACGACCGCTTATAACGTGCGGGTAAAAAGCAAAAAATCATCTAATCTTTGTACAAAAATCTAGATAAATACGAGGGTGGGAAAAATGGCACAAAATTATCATTTTTAACATAGCCTGAACTTCGAGGGGTTTTTCCTACGTCTTAAATTGCTATACTTACAAGAAGTTGTTATATGCGCTACAATCACGTACCGAGTAATGCATGTAAGTAGTAAATCAATGAAGAAAATTACCGATTCCTTCATGATGGTATTTCCATTTCTAAAGTTCACGATGACTTCGTGCCAATCCATAACTGGCAAAACGTGAATGCACTCTGAAGCAACAGAAAAGTCTCGCACTCCCACATTTTGCAAATATGAATAACGTTCTTAGAATACGTCTTAAGGTCACCAATTACTAAATACTTTAACTAATCACGCGTAATTGATGGTTATAATTTAGCCGTAACCGAATTTTCGGTCACTCTTAACCGCTTATTACGCTCTCAATGGTGCTTATCATGTCGTATCTTTCAACAGGTGTCGTAATGAAATGTTTTGAGCGGCTATTATTTTAATACCGCCCGTGCGCACCGAATTCTTTTTCATAACCTGGTTAACTTCGCTCTTACGCGCCGTTTCAGTTATCTAATTAATTAGAGCAAGGTTTGCAAGTTCCTGGCACGCATCATCGAGCAGTTTCCTTATTTCAATTATTTTAATTTCGTACGCATAGTTTCACGAGAAATTATATAGGAAATGTGGTGGGTGGAATTTCTTAACAAGTGCGTTTATGTTTTCCGCCTTATGACACTTTGAGGTATTAAAAAAATGTATAGTAATAATTGTGGCGGCTTGATTATGTTATCTAGTCATGCGTAGATACATGCACCCACTTTCTAGATACCTTGTGATTTCACAAACTTATTTATTGATTTTACAGTAGAATAATGTACAGGAAGAATACCTCCACAAGAGGTATCTAATAGTGATGAAGAGGTAATCCGTGGTGGTAGTGGATGGCTGCGTTTCTTGCGGAGGCCTCGGCGTGGGCGGCGAAGTGGGCAGCTTTGGAGTGTTGTACTTCAGGTGTTTCTACTGGGACGCCGTGGGGGGTGATCACGGGAATGTGGATGGGATATTTCGCGTGGACGGCGGCGTATGGCACGATGGGGTGCGACACCAAATGGGCAGCTCCTACGTGTTCGGCTGAGGCTTTGGCGTGGGCGGCGAAGTGTTCGGCTTTGGCAGCTTGCACTTCGGGGGTTTCAACTGGTACGCCAGTATGGTCGATAACTGGAATGTGGTGAGGGTATGGGAAGACGGCAGAGCGACGCTTGAGGACGTGTCCATGGGCGGCCTTGGCGTGTGCGGCGAAGTGAGCGGCTTTGGCGATTTGCACTTCGGGGGTATCTACGACGCCATGGTGATGTCCAGCGACGGCAACAAGTGGGGCTACGTGTCCTAAGCTATTACGAGCGGCAGCTTCGTTGTATGCAGCAAAATGGGCGGCTTTGGCGTGCGCTACTTCGGGGGTGTCAATTGGCCTTCCGGCGCCATCAACCACGGGGTAGTGATGGTGGTAGAGTCCAGCGGCGTAGGAAAGGGGATGCGAGTGTTCGTGAAAGATTCCAGAACGGGCGACTGCATGTGCGGAGAAGTGAAGGGCTTTGGCTGCTTGTACATCGGGTGTATCCACTGGCACTCCACTGTGGTCGATTAAGGGAATATGTTGACCATATAAATGGCCGTAAGCGTAAGGGTGCGTTGCCGAAGCAACTGCAAGCACGACAGATAAAACAACCTGAAATAGTACGATTAAATTAACCGCAAATTAACTAAGAAGGAGTACTCACGAAGTATTTCATTTTTGCCTCTTCAACCTCCTAAGACACTAGGACTGTTGATGACTGTACCGGGGTATCGCCCCAACGTTGCTTATATACAGTCCCCCAATAACAATACCCCATCTGAGGAGCAAGGTCCCTTTCACCGTTTACAGAAGACGGTAACATATCTATCCTACTTAAAATTTCAAGAAAAGAACCAAAGCGCAGTACAACTTCACTAAGCCGACAGAGATGACGTTATAAACGTAATACCAATCTAGTTTTGTAAATTTTGTTCGTTAATAATTTATCATTTTTAACTTAAAACAGATGGGGCGTGTTCACTAATTCATTAGAAACACAACCATATGCAGATTACACAATTTTACATACAATTAAACGTAAGCCAGTTCGCGTAAAACTTCCAAAAGGTAACGAAGACGCGACATTTTACCAATTAATTGCCACTGATAATCGCGCTACCTCTAATTCAATGATTTCCTTGACTTTCAATATGATTAAATTAAAAGACAGGATTATTGCATTACAATTAATGATCTACTTTAGACACATCTACAAAATATACATAAAGCCTTATAAGTTGCTCATCAATAATTCATCTTTGATTTAATTTAAAATAGGGTGTAGGTACACCCGAGGGTACACCACACTGTAGCAAAATGACTAGTAAGTAGTACAGCTGTAAATATTTGAAAGATAGGTACTGCCTTCTCATCCCTAATATGCACCAGTTTCGCACGTATAAAAGTGAAATTCCAGTCATCCCAATTAGGATTTTTCAATACGTACTTAACTTCGAATTTACAATTCAATATCCGTGACTTAATGTCTGTTGACCTCACTAATCTTAATAAGTGTAAGGAGTTGCTTTCATTCGCTTTAACACGTTATCCAGCAAACGTTAATTAAATGGCGAATTTATTGCACATATTTCATCTGATAATGTAGGGCAAAATTACGCTTAGCGGTGATTAGAGGTCAATTTTTGTGTCACCGTAATAATTATAAGGTCATGATCGGAGTTTCTAATTCAATTAAATTCAATTTAAAAAAAAGACATTCATGTATCATCTAAGAGAGCCTCTTGGATTTGGCTGCTTAATTAGTTCTCGTAAAGTAATTGTGTTTACTTTTATCAAAGGAAACGCTATTGCCTTACAAGTTCCTAGACATCCTTCTACACCGGGTTATAGAAAGTATAATTAATTAGGGGTATAATTAGTTGTTATAAGTGCGAAAATTGTACCTTGATAAAACCGATACTGATCTGCTCTTAAAGATATATACCCAGATAATTGCCGTACAGTGCTTCAAAATACTTCAAATTCTTTCTTCAATACTCATAGGGAAGGTTTGCTATTTTATCCACATAAAGCATTCTAAATTTTGCAGATCTTTTGATCTCGGGGTCATGTGGGTGGGTGAATGTAAATCTCGTGGATTCGTAGGTCCTACATAATTATTCAAAGATTCTGTGAATTCACTGAATTCTGTAGGTACTTAAGTATCTGTAAATTCCGCTTTTGTAGTCCCGATGATTATTGTAGATTCTACCTTCTATAAAATATTATTTTGTTCTGGAGTTTATTAGGAATATTGTAGATCTTGATGATACAATTCCTAAAGGTACCGCAGACTTTACAAATGGACGCCGTTTTCACATAGTAATTTCTGTATTGAAAATCTTGTAATTTCTGTAGACTCTGCAAATGATTCACATTATTAAAATGCCATAGATCCTGTATTCTGTAGATTTTGAATTGCTTATATTTCCGTTGGTTCTATAAATTCTGCAAATTTTGGTTGGTTCGTTTTCGTAGCTGGAATATGTCATTCAAAAACTATAGGTACCAAAAAAAAGGAGATGTAAAAACAAAAATCGAAATAATTACACTCTTTCACCATAATAATAAATCGTTATTCTGGATCAAGTAAAACATCGTACTTGCGGTGCACCGAATGCTCTAATCATTGGAATTCATTCATCGAGGAACATATTTTCGAAACCATTTGAACGTGAAGAATATTATTGTAACGTTAATTCAATTATGGTGGTTTTATTTATTAGAACTAAATAACAATAATTACAATTTGCTTCTATAGCAAACGACAATTGTCATTTTCCCGGAAGGATTATTTAAAATCCGCCTCTGCTCTTTCTCACCGATTGCCAATCTTCCATGGCGCCTCGATGTCTATCATATTTCTGGAATGTCAATATTTGATCTACATTCTAGCTTAACTAATTACTAAGTATACATTTTTTTTTTATTTTTAATTAGATAGCTTAAACGGAAAACTTAAGGTTGAAGAACTCGTTAAATGAATATAAAGGCAACGCGTGAAAGTATGATTTTAATCTTTTTTTGTATATGTTCATATCTTCGTTTTTCTTCCATCTCAAGCTATCCGGCATGTGATTAAATATTTGACGTGTTTGGCTAAATGGCTAGATTTACCAGAATGTCTGTCTTGTCTGACTTGTCGCTTTTTGATTTGGTAGAGCATATGCTTCTGTCCATTTGCTGAAATAGTCCATGACCAACAAGATGTATTTGTTTCTAGAATTTGTCTTCGGCAAGAGTCTTGCGATATAAATGGCTATTCCACCATTCCTTCATATCTTGTTTGCAATTCACGCAGTAGAATCCGCCCGCACCTTAATCAGGAGTCATTCCTAGAGGGCCTCGTGCATTTGTCGTAGTACTTTTGATTTCTTGCTCTTCGGTATCACTAGCTGCACCCTGGCGGTCGTACCCTCATAATTTTCTAAACCACTCTTCCGAAGACCATCTTCTAATCGTAATGAGTCCCACTGAGGCCAATATATACGCCTTTAAAACTGGGACCGTATCGAGGTACCTTTTCTCAAATTGACCTTTTCTCGTCCATTTTACAGTTTATCACTAAACGTAAATGTTCTTGTGCCGTCCGGAGTTCTTGCGGTGACCAACCATCATCTACAAGCACCGTGCGTCGCGCATCTTCATGCTTCATACTGATGGCTCAATAAACACTCGATGCTGCAATGATGCTGACTAGGATTACAGTCTCTTGGGCACAACTTGCTCGCTCCTGCCCTTTGACTCGTCCTAGTTTTCCCTGGCTATTGGTTACTGTACTGCCGGGACAATTTCTTTCTCTCTCTCGGGTTTCACCACAGCCCCCACATCGCAAGCCTCGTGGCATTGTCCACTGCTTCTGCACTACTCTTTTCACTATTTCTTATAGATTTTCATCTTCTTCATCTGACACGCAAGCATTACCACGAGATGCATCTATCTCCAGAGCATGCGTCAATGCCGATTCCAATTTCTCATGTCGAGCAAGTTTCAAAGCTTTCTACGTTTTCCCGTCGCGAACACCATCGATAGCGGTCTGCACCACCAGCCGCTGTAAACAGCTTTCTGGATACGTCCATCTTATCAATCGAGCTATATCGGCTTCGAATTCTTGCAAAGTTTCGCCTGATTTTTACGTTCGGTTCATTAATTGGGCGTAATACACTTTCTGCAAATGCTTATCTCCATACCGAGCTTCTAAACGTAAAATTTGCTCAAAGTCTTGTTGCTGGTGTTCTGGAATCGTACAACCAATGCATTTCCCCGCAACGCAACTATCAGAAAAGTTGCTTTCTTTTCCTCTGGCCATTTATTTGCATCCAAACTGTCTCAAGTTAGGTGGACCACGGTGATTTTCATTCGAATATTGGTGGCTTAACTCGAACATTTGTTGTACCAATATTTCACATAGTTCGGAGGCTTCTTTACGGGACGATTGTGGAACAGCAAGTAGATATTGTGTTATCACTCTTTCGCGTTCTTCAATCAATGCCATAAATCGTTTTCGTAATTGATCGATTTCGCTTTCTATCGTATGAATTTTATTTTGGACACCCTGTATCTCATCTTGAATCGTGCTTCTAACGTCTTGTTGACCTGATTCTATTTTAGCTTCCATGGATTGTTGGTCAGTTTCGATTTTAGCCTCCATTGATTGTTGACCAGCCTCCGATTTATCTTCCATGGTTTGTTAATCGGCTTTCATTCTGGTTCTGGGTTCTAAACGGGCTTGCGCCCACTTACAGGTGACCCTCATAATGCTTTTTAGAGGTGCCTCTGCAGAAGGTCTTAAGTATACTATACTACTCCGGTATTTACTTAACGAATTAGGAAAACTGCAGGAAACCCTAATACAGAGTAGCCCGCCGAATGTTCGAAACTGATCTAAGGAAATTCCCATCTCTGCCGCAGATAAAAAATTCTTACCTAGGCTCAGGTTCAAACACCCGACCTCCTGCTACGTAGTCCAACGCTCTACCAATGAGCCACATAGTCGAAATTCTTGGCACCTTCATGTCTATCGGGATTTATGGAATGTTTTTCATATGGATTATGCGGTACTCTCAAGGTTTTTTTCTTAAATCAAGTCATTATTTCGGAAAGGCAGAAATGAAAAAAATGGTTACCAAAGATCCCCGCCCCCCTCGCTTCTAGTATAATAATAACCCCTAACACTTTTAAAGAAATTCCAAAAAATATCTAGATTACAACGGAGACGGAGATTTCCAAGGGCACCCTAGATAAAAATTGATAAGATAATTTAGTACCAAACTCGTCTCTATTGAAAGAGACCAATATTTTAGAAAATCGATCTCAAAAAGGAAATTATAATAATAGTAATCCACAAAACGTAATTTTAGTAGTAGAATGCACCTTTATAACAATTAACAGTTAACAAAGAAACGTGTTCTTGATTTAGTTAAAAACATTTCCTTTCTAGTCACATCTACACTATTAGAATAATTTATCAGTCTGCATCCATTGTGCATGCTCTCATTCTGAAATTATAAATAAGTGGACGTGAAAGGTTAGCCACAATTTTTCCCAATATTGCGGTACATGCGAATTATGAGTACGAAGTATACTCTAAGCATCTAAGCATCTAAGTGACGGTCAAAAAAAGAGGAAAACGCCACGAACTTCACTTCAGGTGGTCTGCAAATTTACCATTGTAGTAGACTAATTGCGTAGACATTTTGAAATCGAATTTATTGAATTGAAATACTGCGGGTTGGCTTGCGATATAGATAGAAAATATTATAAGAAAGTAACTTTACCATTCTTCAGTTTTGCAATGCGTTATAATACCGTGAATGTGGTTA